TGTCAGTATTTATCCTATTTTGGTCTGACGCGGACAGACGGTCGAGCCAGATACCTTCTCGTCACATGTCTTTACACTATAGAGGCGGTTCATTTAACCAGGAGGGGCGGTGGGGTAGCCTAGTGGTTAAAGCGTTGGCTCGTCACGCCGAAGACCCGGGTTCGAATCCCCACATGGGTACAATGTGTGAAGCCCATTTCTGGTGTCCCCCGACGTGATGTTGCTGGAATATTGCTAAAAGCGGCGTAAAACCAAACTCAGTCAGTCAGTCATTTAACCAGGACACTATTTAACCAGTACACATGTATATAATATGCAAGTGTAGATTAGTATTGGTCATCAGCAGCCCATGCTTGTCGTAACGGGGCCTGACAGGATCGGGTGGTCAGGCTCGCTGACTCGGTTGACGCATGTTTTCGTATCCCAGTTACGTTGATCGATGCTCATGATGTCAATCACTGGTTTATCTGATCCAAACTTATTTACAGACCCTCGTCATATAGCTGGAATATTGCTGAGTGCTATGCAAAACAACACACAAATCAGGGAAGAGCAACGATGTACTCGTCTGAACCTAACCTTTACTACCGAATAAAGAGTCACTCAAACTTCAGCAATTAAAATTGAATAGTCAGCACTGTGCACATCATCAGCAAATAGAAATACAAAAGGTCTATACAAATACGTGTCCCTATGTCCCACGAAAATCATTAAAAGTTGAATTGTAAATACAGTGACAAGTAAACAGAAACCTGAATGTCTACAGTAGGGCGTGCGCTCATGCTGTAATGTGCTCATGTTGTTATGGGCTGGTAAATATTTCATGAGATGCTGCATGATTGTTGGGAAAGGTAGAGGATTTCTATGTAACAATACGTGACGACCTGCTCATAATTGCTGTAGGTTTGTAAACGTGGACAAGACTATTTGCATAAATCGATTAAGCGATTAAGTTTTCATGGCATGTTCGATGGTTCACTGATTTGATATGTTAGGGAGTTAGGTTGCAGACTGCACTGAACCTTATTCCACCAGGGGCGGTGGGGTAGCCTAGTGGTTAATGTGTTCGCTAGTTACGCCGAAGACCTGGGTTTGATTCCCCACACGGGTGCAATGTGTAAAGCCATTTCTGGTGTCCCCCGCAGTGATGTTGCTGGAATATTGCTAAAAGTGGCTTAAAACTAAATCCAGCTCACTTATTCCACCAACGCCACAGAGGCAGACACAAATACTAGGATTTAGATACGCCCGTATCATGAATCGAACCTGGATCCTTGGCGGAACGAGAGAACACATGACCTACTAGACTACAGTAAGTGAGTGAGTTGGGTTTAATGCGGTTTTGAACAGTATTCCAGTTACATCACGGCGTGCCATCTAAATGTAGGGGAAAGCAATAAATGATGCAAATCTATGATGTTTAGTGAAATCCACGAGCACAGGTATAGTGCTGACAAACCTGGAAAAATACTCCTATGACACTGACTATTTCAACATATGTGTACAGTTTGACGTGTTACCACAGTGTTGGTGATCCCTAGTAAACTTTGAGCAGCATATGAATCTTTCATATCATGTCGCGATGCATCTTCTCTGTATCTTTCCAATGTAAGTAACTTTACTGCTTTAGCAATAATTTAAACAAAACCGCTTGGGCTACTAAGATCAAACATAGTCTCTTGTCAGGTTGGAATGTTGACAATGTGAAACTTTTCATATGGCTGTTTAAACAACGTGTATCTGATTTAAACATCCAAAGATGACTTTCGGTAAAGGCTACAAACTATATGATAATGGCGTATTCAACGTTCAAGGTGAAATACGTCTTACATAAATTGACTTTACACGATTGAAACACGCGTTGTCAAGATGTGGTTGCCATCAGATAACGATCGAAATGCTGAGACACGTGAGTATCGATCCAGAGCGTCCCTTGTGTATATATTGTCTTCGGTTTGCTATCAGTCTAGTTGGAATGAATATCATTATATTCTCATGAAACTTTATCGACCCTAATATTTATACCCTCCAGTGGAAACTAATGTACGATTTTACTCCTAAAACTTCTCTACATTTGTCCATATATATATATATATACTGACTGAAACAAATAAGGGGAAACCAGTGTTCCTTTATGTATTCTCAGATTTTCTTCCCACAACACTATTCAAAGCTGGTGATGAAAACTGGAAAATATTAAAGGAACGCTTGAATTTTCCTGTGTTCCTTTAGTTGTTTCTCTCAGTATATTATTGCAATGAAATATGATCAGTAACTTCATCAATAATTGTATTGCTGTAACGTTATGTTCTGTGACCCAGTGTTTATATCACATGTGGTGCAAAAATCACTGGTAACTCTTGACAGTCAAACACCGTGAACGACATGGCGTGTGAAATATATATGCTTTGAAAATTAAAACAGACAAACGAGTTTCAAACACCGAAACAGACATAGAAATGAGATTGTTGTGCGTTGGATTTAAACAGACCCACCAATCAAAACATCTGGTTGAAAATAACTTTCAGCCTCATGCGAATGAATGTACGTTTACGTCAAAGCACGATGTTTTTCATTATACTCGCCAAAATGATCATTAAGATCCACCGATTTACCAACCTGAAATAATACTGATCAATGAAAGTACATTGTCTTTTCTATATTTAGATCCATGCCAAAATTCAGAGCGTCAAACTAGTTCCCTGAAGACTGTTTGATGAATGATGACTTCAAGTTCAAATTGGTCAACGTTCCCTGTATTTCCAACAATATTCCTGAAGTTCCATCCATTTGTGTTTAAATTGCACATTGGGGAGTATTGTCAAACATGAGTGCTCTTTAGCGACGAGAGCAGATTTCTCTTGTACCGAAACGATGGCAGGGCACGGGTTTATCGTCGTACTGGAGAACGACAGGCCGCCTGTTGCGTTCAGGAGGTCGTTCCCCTATGGAATGGAAGTGTGATGGTGTGGGAGGCATTTGTGGAGAACAAAAGACGCCACTGGTCATCGTCAATGGCAACCTGACGGCCAGACGGTATATCGATGACATTCTTCGCCCCACAGTACTGCCATTTATGCGCAATCGCCAACAGGGCATCCTGCTTCAGCATGACAATGCAAGACCCCATGTGGCAAGAATTACACAGAACTTCCTTCAAGCAAACAACGTTAATGTTCTTCCGTGGCCAGCATGCTCCCTGACATGTCACCAATCGAGCACTTGTGGGACGCTCTTGATCGTCGTGTTCGGCGCCGTCAACATCCCCAACAAACCGTCAAGAACTCGCTGACACCTCCAAGAAGAATGGCGGAACATTCCACCTGCTGATATTAATTTTCTCCCCAAACGCCTCGTAGCAATTTAAAAACTTTCAAAACGATTTATGTTTTACATGTGGAAAAAAATGTTGTCCGATGCAATTCCTTATTTGTTCCCGAGTCTATTTCCAGATGAACAATTAACTTGCCTTTGCGTGTGTTTGTAACAGAAGCCAGGGACGGGAGCATGCTGGGAAAACCTGTAATCGTTATTTGTTATGGTGATTCATGAACACATGTTTATTGTAAAATGGGAATCGTATAACGGACTCTATTTTAGGCAGATGTTTCTTTTGATAATGGATATGACTTTTATCGCATTTATGTTCATGACATCTGCCGTATCCAGCAAAGCATACATGTTTTGGTAAACTTGAATCTAGATAGTACCTTCCTCATCAAGAAACCCATGTTGTCCATGCATGTACCTCTTGTTCCTCAGAGTAAGCATCACCCATGTGAAGGACGTCCTTGTGATGTAGGTCAGACCTGCGTTGCTGTGGAGGCTGCCTCCAACTTCATCTGCCTATCTGCGACAGGTGAGTATATGTTGATAACACGACTCGTGCACTGATTGGTCACTTGTAACACCATAAAAGTGAAAATAACGGTATTCCGTTACACGTTCACTTATGATAACTGTTACATCAAGTATACACCTATGTTCTATGGTAGCTAAGGAGGGCACAAGCAATAAATGGTTATTCAATGGTGATCTGTTACGGGTATCATGATGGTACTTTGGTCTTAAGTCTTCTGAGTTGCAGCGACTGTTACTGCAGCCCAGCAATGTTTTGATTACAGCTGTAACCCTCTGGTCAAATAATATACAAATATTTGAAGTGCATGTTCCGAGGACACAATGGGCATCCGGACATGAACGATAAACCAGGTCAATGTTCTATAAATAAGAGCTTACACAAATAACAAGAACAAAGACGTTGTTCATTGCTCTTATCTGTTTATTAAATTGCCTTTAATATAGCCAAGGAACCTGTCGGGGTAATGACAAGGTATTTACAGTAACACGGTGGAACACACTCTGAAGCCGGGGAATGTTTGTACCATGTATTTTATGCTATTAGAAAGCACAGAGGCTTGTAACGCTAAAAACTGCCATCATGGTATATACTGTCACTGACAGGGTCTTAGTACTATATAAAAGGAAAGGGATGTAACGAGGTCAACACACCAGGTTCGTTTCAGGGCGAATTCAACAATGCTCACTGTATTTATATCCCATTTAAAGTTGCACACATTTCAAGCCAATAGATTTACATACAAAACGAGACTTACAGCACAAAAGAGTCAGTGATTTGATGGGACATACTTTATTTGCAACCAATGAGCTCCCATGCTCTGTTACAAGTCCCTGTGCTAGAAAGAAAGCATTTCTGACGTCTACTTTAACATAACCGTGTAAATCACTCTACCTGTTCCTGGCAACGTATCTCTATGGTCAAAAAGTGAACTCCTTAATTCAGATAATTTCAGCAGATTCCACACCCCCTGTTCCGAGAACCCTCATTATCTCACGTTTCCGTTCCAGCTGCTGCGATAACTTCCACAACTGTACCTCCAACGTCTACTACAACGACACCTGTAACTACTACTACTACTACTACGGCACCTGTAACTCCTGCCACTACTACTACTACTACTACTACAACGACACCTGTAACTACTACTACTACTACTACTACTACTACTCCAACAACTACTTTATCAACAACGACACTGTCACCTTGCAGTAAGAGCAATTTCTCTAAAAACATATTGTGTTCCTGTGTTTTTGCCTGATTTACATCCATGTATTGGAGGATGGTTTTACTACGACCCTTAAATGCTTTATTTCAAAGTCAGACAACGTCCATAGAGGCTAGGTGATTCGATCTTTCGATCTCTAGGCTATATACCCTCTTATAATTGTTTTTACTAAAGAACCCGTGAAGATCCGGGTTAGAATTGGTCTGCAGTAACCCATGTTTGTCGTAAGAGGCGACTAACATGATCGGTGATCAGGCTCGCTGACTTGTTTGACACATGTCATCGTATCCAAATTGCGTAGATTGATGCTCATGCTGTTGATCACTGGATTGTCTGGTCCAGATTCTATTATTTACAATCCGGAATATAGCTGGAACATTGCTGAGTACGGCGTTAAACAACAAACCAACCAACCAATTTATTAAATGATTAATCATGTTATCAAAATATAAAAATTGATTGGTTTTATCTATATGTTTTAGAGTACATGGGATGTTATCTGGATGACAGTAACAGAATGATAAAAGACATTTGGGTGCAAAGTGAAGTTATGACTTTGGAATGGTGCATGGCGAAATGCAGAGAAGGCAACCATAAGTTTGCTGGTCTTGAGGTACGTCTAACTGCTTTTAATCAATATACGAATTGCAGCCACAATGCGCTCAAGTTCACCAAATAACATCCAGACAACCCCATAAGTATCTCACCTCCCTCGCTCGCACGCACGCACGCACGCACGCACGCACGCACGCACACACACACACACGCCGTAACCTTTACCTCACACTCTTCTTTACTCTAATTCCTCTTCACCACCATGGATTTTCGCAAAGTAAGATTTTCTGTTGCAAAAGTTGCGATATTGCTGAAGTAATGCCGATGATACCTTGAATTTCACCCGTATTTTGATGTTGATTCTGGGTATGTTGTATTTTTATTCTGTCTCTTTACCAATGAGGGGCGGCGGGGTAGCCCAGTGGTTAAAGCGTTCGATCGTCACACCGAAGGCCCAGGTTCGATTCCCCACATGGGTACAATGTGTAAAGCCCATTTCTGCTGGAAAATTGCTAAAAGCGGCGTAAAGCCAAACTCACTCACTCACTCACTCACTCACTCACTCACTCACTCACTCACTCACTCACTCACTCACTCACTCACTCACTCACTCACTCACTCACTCACTCACTCACTCACTCACTCACTCACTCACTCACTCACTCACTCACTCTACCAAGGAACTGACTGTAGAACGATGCCATGTGAAACAATCACATCAGCAGACAATTGGTATAATGGGGACATGAGTTGACATGGTCATGATCGCGACACGCCATCGCAACCATAAACTCATCATGAAACTATTGGCATGTTTACAACATACGAAAAGGACTGATCAAAATGTTTTCGGTAAATTCTAATCGTTCTGCGATTAATCAGTCATTGTCAAAAACATTAGAAGGAATTACTCTCACTGGTATTCTAGAAGAATCGTTTCTCAGTCTTCCCAGATTATTTCTTTCTGTATATAACGAGCATTCCATCTCTCGGCATTCCATGATGTACCAGGGTTAATTTATAACAAAAAATAATCTATCACAATATTATGAACGCAACTTACTGTACTTTCTCAAAACTCTTTTTCATCATGCGACAATGTCGTATTGGACACACAAGACATACTCATGAATACCTTTCAAAAGGTGAATATCCTCCGTTTTGCATCCCTTGGGATGAAAGAATCACGGTCAAGCATGTCATGCATGGCTGTGATGAATATTCCATCACAAAGGATAACTTTTTCAAATCACGAACTATGAAGGATCTTTTTAATAATATCAGTTCTCATTTAGTATTTTGCATTTTTAAAAGAATTAGATTTATTGAATGATTTGTAAATAGATAAATATTTTATGATTGGAAGTATAAATTCGTAACTCAGATTGTTAGTGGCTGTATCCTCAAAGGGGGTTTAAGTACAATAAAATTATTGTCCTCTTGAGAGGAGTAAATCAAAACTCTCCACTATTTTTAATCGTAGAATATATGTGTTTCTAAATGTATGGCTAGATTTGTCTAAGTTGCTTACGGCTGAAGGGATGATGTAAATCCAGCTAGGGTCCATGCAGGAAGCAAATGTACTGTGAGTCCCCATGGTCCCTAGTATGGTAATCTAGCTTCAGTTGTTGGCGATCTATAGCCTGTTTTTACATTGTCTTGTCATTTCTAGCTAATATGTTTTAGATTTGATTGCTGGTATTATATGGATAGCTAAGATACACTAGTAGTTTTACCTTCGTCAGCAGGCTTTTGTTTTCTAATTTTATTGATCTATAATATAATTATAAATTGTTCTCGTCACGATATGGCTGAAATATTGCCGATGTGACGATAAATATTTACTCACTCATTCACTCAAAAATCATTTTGTGTTCGTATTGTTATGGCGATGAAACAACTCATTAAAAACTTTACGCTATCTGATACTGCAAAGAAGCACAGGTGCTCTCAAGTTAACGATCCTTTAAAACAAACATACTTAATGACAGCGATAGATTCACAAGCACGATGCCGGAGATAGAGAATGTTGACGACATTAGGGCTGGGTTGGGTAACGGGTATCCGGGACTGGTGAGTAATGAGTTGGACCGTACCAGTCTCAATACCCGGAACCGTTATAATCATGTGACTAATAGATTAATGTTATTCCTTCATTATTAAAAGGTTGCATTGTCTTAAGATTTATATATCATTTACAGTCACTTCTTTTTTAATATAATACATGGTTAAGACATTGTAAAACTCGAAATTTTAGCCTCCGAACTGAAGAATATATAATAATTCAATTTGCCATTTCTTACAAATTTGATGTCAGGAATTACAATTACTGGTATCTGGGTAGGGTAGGGGTGGGGTACCCGGGTAGAAAATTTGGACCCGTCCCAGCTCTAGACGACATACTCCAAGACTTATTAACACATGGCCGAGGAGCCGCTCATCTCTTGGCCAGACTTCCATCACCGTCATTCTCAACCTTCAACAGAAGACACATCCTTGCAGACGACACTATCCAGCCAAGCTGCACTCCCTTCTGAAAACACTTTGACAAATTCTCAGAACACGTGTAGATATGATAATGGGCGTTATGTCATGAACATTGACTTATTAATGACTAGGTTTAGTGACACTTTACACAGCACCCCACATCATATCACAACTTGTCACCTGGTATGAGAGGAAAAGCCCCATATAATGAGAACCCATGGGTATGTTGCGGACATACCTAGACATATTGAGAACGTGATTCAAACGTACGGCCACAGCTGGCAACACGTCCAAGGCACGCAACTCTTATGGGACGCCAAATTTCATTAATTATAACTGCGCATTATAGGTTGACTCTTAATTTTTAATTGCAAGAGTGTAAAGTAAATCAAATCAATGGATTTAATTTCGGAGGTGGGATACCTTAGTCGTCATACCAAAGCTATCCCCTTAAATGGGTACAATGTGTGAAGCCCATTTCAGGTAAACCCCCCACACACACACACACACACACACACACACACACACACACACACACACACACACACACACACACACACACACACACACACACACACACACACACACACACACACACCGTGGTATTCCTGTTATATTCTAAGACCACCTATTACGCTGTCAATATCTTACCTCTTTCATCACTCAGTCTAATCTTTTTATAAGAAAACCTCGGATATAGCGAATTGATTTAAATGTTATGGTGACATGGTTTATCCAAAACTTTGTTTCCCTTTCAGTTCTACAAGCACTGTTTCTGTGGCGATTCCTACGATGAGTCGCGGTACCCACAGAAGGCCGAGTCTGGGTGCGACACGCCGTGTAAAGGGAATACACAACAGATGTGCGGTGGAGGGTGGAGACTCTCAATGTTTTTATGTCGTTGACATGTTCATTTATATCATAATTACGTTATACTAAGGACTACACGTTGTAGAAAAGTACAAAATCACAGTGCACACGGATCTGGACTACCACTTGTTGGATTGACCTTTGTATGGAAGTCTTGATGGCTAGGTGGGTTAGATCGCTGAAGTGTGCTGCGGTATATGTGTCTCACTCAGAGTGTGTGGGGTCGAATCCGGAGCTAGACCACAAGAAGTATTGAATTTGTACTTATTTCTTGGGATTATCCCAAGAGTAACATTTCACTATTTTCTAAAAGCACTATCATGTATTAATATCAATTCATGCCACCACCACCACCCCACCACCCCAACACACACACACGCTCTCTCTCTCTCTCTCTCTCTCTCTCTCTCTCTCTCTCTCTCTCTCTCTCTCTCTCTCTCTCTCTCTCTCTCTCTCTCTCTCTCTCTCTCTCTCTCTCTCTCTCTCTCTCTCTCTCTATCTCTCTCTCTCACACTCGCTCTCTCTCTCTCTCTCGCTCTCTCACTCTCTCTATCTTTATCTTCCCCCGCCGTGATGTTGCTGGAATATTGCTAAAAGCGGCGTAAAACCAAACTCAGTCAGTCAGTCTATCTTTATCTATCTCTCTCTAAAAATCACAGCAACCCTTATTGCTAATGCCCCTCCAGAATCGGAAAATTCATTCAGCGACACAAATTAAGTCTTCACGTGGAAGCCCCTTTGTCCTCATCAGTGAGTGAGTGAGTTTATTTTTAGGCTTTTAGTAATATTCCAGCAATATTACGACGGGGGACACCAGAAATGGGCTTCGCACATTGTACCCAGCTACCACTAAGCTGCCCCACCAAATTGTAATAAAAACGCAAATTGTAATACTTGCAGCAAATTGTAATAAACTTGACGTAAATTGTAATAAAAAACGTAAATTGTAATAAAAATTGACGTAAATTGTAATACGCAAATTGTAATAAAAATTGACGTAAATTGTAATAAAAAATTTACGTAAATTGTAATAATTTTCGTTGCGGTAAAATGTGATAAATATTTACGTAAATTGTAATAACAGTTTTAATCACTCGTAAATACGCGGGTGTTTGTTTTTCGTTGCATTTCATACATCAAATAATCTTGTTAGGGCGATAACTCAAGAAAGAAATGATGGATTTTGTTCAAATTTGGTACCAAGGTATATTGGCGAGATTCACCGACACAAGTGAAATGGAGTGACCTTGAGATAATTGTCAAGGTCACAGCAAAAATCTGAGGGGTTTGCCAATATAAAGATTGTTAGCGCGATAACCCAAGAAAGAATTAACAAATCTTAGCCAAATGACGAAAATGATATTCGTCCTGACATATAATCGATATAAAATATCTTACTGTCCTCTGTATCATGTCTTTTCGCAAATATCTTTTGAGGTTTTGATATGTATAAATATAAAGTGGGGTGGGGTGGGATCGGGTTGGGTTTCCAACGGGTATATCAAATCAAATCAAATCAAATTAGACATTTGTATAGCGCTACATATCCAGAGTCCTGCTCATGTGCACTTAGTCGAATGCTCGTTTGAAGAAGATGGTTTTGCGACAAGATCAGAAACTGTTGATATTTTCCGATTTTCTGACATTTTCAGGTAAATCAATTCCAGAGTACAGCACCCGGTCTGCTAAATGATCTGTCTCCGTATGTTGTGGTTCGGACAAATGGAATAGCCTAGCTGAATAGTAATGAAATGCATCACAAATTAAACTTCAGGAAACAAAATATGCAAGAAACATTTTTGTATGTTTGAGATTGGTAGAGGTCGGCTAGAATCAAACTAAGATATTAAACTGCACAAAAAGGCAATTTGAAACTACAATCGCTTGTTCAAATGACTCCCCATTCGGTTTACTGAAAGAACTCGAGAAAGAAATGATGGATTTTGTTCAAATTTGGTACCAAGGTTTATTGACTGGAGATTGGAGATTTACGGACACCACTTGAATTTAGTGACCTTGAGGTCATTTTAAAGGTCACAGCGAAGGTGTAACAGTTTTGCACATGCCAAGCTTGGTAGCCGCGAACTTAGGAAAGAATTAATAGATTTTGATCCAATTTTATATCAAGATGTATTGGCGGGAATCCCCCTACAACAATTGAAACAAAATATGCAAAAAACATGTTGTATGTTGGTAAAAGTCAAACTTAGATATTAAACTGCACATTAAAGCAATTTTAAACTATAATCGCTTGTTCAAGTGACTCCCCCTTCATGTTTACTGAAAGGGCTTGTTTTGGAGACACTACCCACCCCCTTTCAGTTGACCTCACCATAAGGATATAACTTATCCTAAAGTTTTCACTTATTCATACATGGTGTCAAGGGTTCAAACTAAATACTGAATGGTCACACAAGTGTCAGCTCTCAATATGTTGTATATCTGGACGCAATGTTTTTGAAAATTTAAATTGAGGGTGTCCTCAAAAAACAGTCCCCGTCTAAATGTAAATCAAGCAATCCAAATCTTTGAATGTTGATGATGACGGGAAGTCATCCAATACTATGCTGAACATATTTTATATGATACTATCTGAGGGTATTGTTATGGGTGATGAAACATATTTTGCAAATTTAATGTACAGTTTTAGATAGTGATGAGTATACGTGGTGTAATTTAGTTTTAGCTTGGGGTGAGGGGCCTTCGCTTGAGCGCGAGAAATTGTTATGTAACTAGTGGTACAGCTTGGGGTTTGATGAATTCAGCTTTGGTCAGTTAATTGAATGTGGCCAGCCAGCTTATAGGGAGAAGCTCGGTGATTCTGATCTAGCTGGGATGTTTCTTGGGGACGGGATTTTTGCCAGTTGTGGTTGTACCCATGATGTGAATGTTCATCTGTGAATTCACAAACTTGCACCCACGTCGGGACTGTGTCAAATATGGAAACTAGGAAATCATGGTGTACAGTTTTAGAAGGATATAAAAATGAGGTGACTATGCCATATTGCTTTGCCCATAATATATCTAAGACAATTCCCTCTTCACTTTCCACATTTGTAAATCGGTATCTTGTATCAGCCTTCTGTTAGGATAGTATAAATAAATCTTCCTGAATTAGTCAGATTGTTGTGTGATCCATTTTCATTGTGCGAGTGAATTGCTGTCATATACCCCTTTATCACACCTTCACTCGTAACAGTATACCATTATCCAAGAGATAGCGCAATAGTGCAGTTGTAAGGCGTCTGCCTATCACGCTGAAGGCCCTGTTTCGAGGTTCGGTTCCCGAGATGGGCTTTTTGCGTAGTATCCTTGGACAAGATACTTAGATCTACACTGTCTCAGTTCACACAGCTGTAAAATGGGTACCCGTGAGTATGTGCTGGCAATGTGAGTGTTTAGTTCATTGCGCCTAACAGGCAGCATGGCTGTACAGTCCCCAGGGAGTTGAAACAGTATTAGAAACTACGATAGTGTCCTATGATCGGGGATAGTAATGTATGTGGCGCCGTGAGCAGGCAATGTGCCTGGATGTGAGCGCCATATAAGCAGACTATTACTATTACTAGATACCAAATGGGAGATCGTTTTGAATTTTCTGCAAATTTGCAAGAAACATAATACCCCCATGTTGTGATGACTAATATCTCGTTAACCACATTACCCACATGAAATTTTGGATATGACTTTGCTAATGATTCCTTCAAAATAAAATGGAAGCTTTTTTCAAACATTGGACATCGAGAATATAGTTAGTTTGACTACTTTTTCAACGCCCCTCGTAACATACTTAAAAGAAATGAGAACGTCTAAGGAAAAAAGCATTTCGATCTCTGAATACTTCTGAGCTATTTAAATACAAAAAGCAAAGGAATAAAGTAAATAATCTGAAAAGAATAGCCAAGGGAAACTTTTAATCTATTTTTGATAACTATTTATCACCTCAGTCTACTCAATCAGGTGGTTACTACTTCATCGGGACCCATTCCCCTTCTTGTCACTGATGATTCTGGGATACCTTCAGTTTTTACAGATTTGGATAAAGCTCAAACATTAAATGAATATTTTGTATCTGTTTCAAATGTTACTGATGGCGGCATCGCTGTGTTAACAGTATAACAAATGTCATTGTAACCGAAAAGGAGGTATCTGATAAGACCTTACCAGCAAACAAATCTAGTGGACCTGATGGCATTAACATGAGAGTGTTAAAACGAATTTGTACATCTATAGCTGAACCTCTTTGTTTGTTGTATAATATATCACTGAGTGACTGTATTTCCTACATTGTGGAAAACGGGTAATGTTACTCCTATTTTGAAAGAAGGAAATGCATCCCTCCCAACTAATTACAGACCTATTAGTTTAATACCTATCCTTTGGAAAATCCTTGAAAGAATAATGGTAAAGCATGTGCACGACCATTTCCATGAACATAACATTTTAAGTAAATTCCAGTCAGGTTTTACTGCTAGTCATTCTACTACATCTCAACATAGACATTTATCATAATATATGCTCAGTCCTAGATAATCACCACCTTTACTGTATGCTGTTTTGTGATATTTCAAAAGCTTTTTACAGGGCATGGCATAAAGGTTTATTGCACAAATTAGAAAATGATGGTGTTCGTGGAAACGTACTTAGTTGGTTAACTAACTATCTATCTGGGCCCGGTTGTTCAATACTCGGTTATCTTAACCGCCGGTTAACTCCTAACGGCCGGTTAAATCCTTAACCGGCCGTTAGGTAACCGAACGTTAAATATGCGTTGTTCAAAACATGGTTAGTCATGCCGTTAGCTAACGTCGCCGTCAAAGTTTAACAGTGTGGTTAACGTCACTGGTTAGCTTCCATATATCCCATAGTTCCGTTTTCTGTTTACTTCCGGTTTACCAAAAATGGAAACGCAAAATGTCGCCTGCACCCCAAGGAAAAAGAGAAGTCGAAATTTCTCTGCTGACGAAGAGAATGTAATCCAGTCAATGGTTGAGGCCAACTCTATAGTTTATCATAGGCATGCGAATGTCGTAGCGTTACGAACGTTTTGTATTGGAACACAAGGTTCCAGCCGTTTGCATAATTTATATTTCAAAGACATATGATCCCAGCTCTGTGTGGGACTTACTTCAATTCCAGCAACAGAAAAGACATTTTAATGAAAAACTATAGCACAGCTATAGATAAAATATGATGAATCCATGAAAATAATATTAATATTAGAAGCATGTTGTCCGTGGATAGAAAATGTATAAATATTACACACAGAGTTACGCTTAGACGGCTACAGTCTTAATGAATCTTTGAATTCCCACAAGACCTATCGCTCACTTTTCACTCCTTAAATTGTCATGACTGTATGGCCAAGTC